AGAAGGGAAAGGACGAAGTTAGTCCGATTGCATCATAAATTTCAATTGTGGTATTTATACTAATTAAGGTCAGTATTATAATACGACATGATCATTATTTTTAATTCTTTTAAAGACAAGCTAAGATGTCACTACTATAATATGACATTTAATAAGTGTTATTATTTTGGTCATTAAAGGAAAAGATGTTTGCACTATAACATAAGCTTTTATATTATTTTCATTCTTATGTTAATTAATTAAATCCTGATATCCGTTTTCATGATTAAGCTAAGATAACATACTGCTATAATATGACAATGCTTTATGTCCTTTACGATTCACTAAAGATAATACTCCGTAGTATTATAATGATTAATAATGAATATTGAGGTGTTAATAATGAATATTGAGGTGTTAGTATTATTATAAGATGGCTTTTAGATTTCATCTCAATTAATCTCATTTATTTGGGTTAATTTAAGGTAATGTTAGTGCTTTAATATTAATTCTTTATTTAAAATTCTTCTTAAATAATTCAATGATAATTAAGTCAATTTGTTCATAATTAACCATTTTGCACGAGAATAGATATTTGTTCATAATTAACCATGCTTTAGTCTATCTTATCCGCTGTACTGTTTGTTACTGCTGTGTAATATGACTTTTATTAGCTAATTCCATTTCCAACTAATCAAAGATAAAAGTATTATTCAGCATCCGTATCTATGTGTATACTAATTTTTACAAGGTACTAATTTTGCTTTAAAAAAACGGTGCTATTTTTAGTTAGCTTAAAGGTAACGGTGTATGATTAATGTTTCTTTTACAAGGACACGAAATATGCATAGTTTTACTTGAATAGCTTATATTTAAAATATGATTTTGTTTTGAATTTATCAATGTCCTTTACAAATTAAAGTACGTGAGTCCGTTTATGTGCGTGAGTATTGAATGGTCTTATTTTGGAAAACAATGTACGTACATTTGGCACACTAATTTACCATGCATGCAGATTATATATTATGTATGTGTATGTTTAAAAGAAGATTAAATATAAGTCTTCGCGTATATATGAATAGAAGAAGATGTGTATGTGACCGTATGTTTAGTGATGATGCTTTGGGAGTATTATATTTTCCAATAATACATGAATTTATGAAATATTTTGGAAAAGAGCCTTACTCCGGGATTTAGATGCTAGTTATGGGTACCTCTGTTCTGTTCTGTTTTGGGTACGAGTTGGTTTTACCGACTACGACTCCTCTGGTGTGCTAGCATACGGCCCAAGGCCAGGGTCCTCTGAATCTGAAATCTCTGTTCTGTTATCTGATGATCCTTGTGATCTGAAGATCTCTGTTATCTGATGGGTAAAGTAACTAGAACTTTGTTCGAAATTACTTTATCTGTATCCTTAGCTAGAGTCTGGTCCTAAGAGTAAAGGCTGAAATTAAAGTACTAAAGAATGAAGTATTCAGAAAGCTGGACATGCAATGTCAACGATTTTGAATAAGATTTATGTGTGATTATTTTCTTATTGGATATACGCTTTCGGCTAAATGATTATTTCTATGTAAAATTATGTTACGGTATCCGTTTTGAAATTATGAATATGTTACGAAAAGATCTGAATTAGAAAGGTCAATTCCTCATGATTTATGTACCTATTTCTTAAGTGATAAATTCACAAGTATATTATGTGAAATAATAGTAGTAGTTAAATTTGACTTCTATGATGATAATGTGAAATATGTTTTACGTATGTGTTTTAATTATGTAAATTGGCTATAATAATATTGATACTTCTTTTTCAATTATTTAGGTAACAAATATAGATACATATTTGTTATCACATGTTATATTATAGTACCACTCAGCAATTCATTGCTGAGCGTGTAGTCTTTTCTACACGTAGGTGAGAAGAGATTCAAGTGGAGCCTCGGGACAAGGAGACATCTGGACAGGATTGCATTGCGTGTGTTTTGTTTTATTGTCATTTTCCCTTAAAGTTAGAATGACCGATATTATTTTAAAAGTTAATGTGATTTGATTAATTTGAGTTTTGCATAAGTTCAATGTAATTGAACAATTATTTTGTGACAATCTATTACAGTTTTCTAATTTAAGTGAGCTTTTGATTAATAAGGCTTATTAAAATAAAGTCAAAACTGGACTTTTATTTTATATTTTAATTAATCTGTAATTTTATCGGGAATTTTTATTAAAAGATAATCGACAGTGACATTCGCCCCGAACCGGCCAGACCGGGCGGGGCGGGTGTTACATAACATGCTAAATGCTAAAGAAATCATATCAAATACATATACATCATACTAAGTACATAATTTGCAACACAATTTATTGGGCACTCACCTTTTCGCGCAACGCGCGTGTATAAAACTAGTTGAAAGATAAGAAGAAAGGATGCCATGAAAGGGAAATTCTAACATACCAGATTTTTGTTCTTAAATGCGGTGAATTCGGTGAGATGAAAATTTACGAAAGTAAGAACAAGGACCAACGAATGCTTACGGAAGAAAAGGAACAGAACTTAACTACTCCAGGGAATTTCTAAATGACGTATAAGTATTTCCTTCTAGGGTTTTTGGTTACAATATTGATCTGGGCCAAGATAATGGATTTGAGTCTCTTAGCCTTCTAAATAAATTGAATCTGACCCAACCGAATTATTATATTCTACCTCTTAATACTATACTAATAAAATATATACTATCGATTATTTCTTCACTTGAAAATGTTGGAGCTTACCAGTCAACGTTACCTGCCACAGACAAAACTTGAAAACAAAATATCACATTATTCACACAAGTAACTTATTTAGGTGACTAAAATATATAATAATGATTAACATAACTAGCTCATAAAAATCGGGGTGTTACAACCCCTCCCACCTTATAAAAGTTTCGTCCTCGAAACTTAGAACAACTCAGGATAACGACGTCTCAGAATATCTCACTCTATACTTCTGACTTAGCTTTAGTACAACTATAATAATAGCTTAATACTCTTATCTTTTACAAGGTTACTTTACTTGAGCATGTGGCTTTAATGCTCCGAAATCAAACTGGTCTTTCTTCCAATTACCAATCTGATCATGTTTGTCTTATTGAGGAGACACACTACTACTTAAGACTACACAAAGATCTCAAAATTTTCTTGATAATTTACCTTAATAACACTACAAGAAAAAAGCTAAATTGCAATGCACATTTTCATTGCAAAATGTCTAATTTCCGTTGCAATTTGTGTTTTGCAACAACAAATGCAATGGACGAAATTCCGTTGCTATAAGCGTCGTTGCAATTCTTTGCAACGCTAGTTCAATCCGTTGCAATGTTATGCAACGGAAAAAGCAACACATGTATTTCCGTTGCATTTGATTTGCAACAATCTTATTTTGTTGCATTTTCCATTGCTAATATTGCAATGAGTTTTTCCATTGCAAAATAATGCAATGGAACTTCAGTTGCAATTTCAGTTGCACAGTTTGCAACAAAATTGTATACCTTATTGCAAATTACGTTGCAAAGTTGCAATGGATTCAACGGTAGTTAAATATATTTCGCATTGCAATTTCCGTTGCAAAAGTGCAATGAAATGATTTTTTGTTGCAATGTTAATGACCGAATTGCAATAAATGCTCATGGCAAGTTTCTATTGCACAAATTTTCGAAAAACAATCACGAACCTACTTTTTTTTGCAGCCTGTATAAATTAATATGTTTACACCACACAACAGTAGAACTAGGTCATAACAAAAATGAATATCAATAGTACTGTCTCAAATAATAATAAAAATTCATAAACTATAAAGAATTGGTTGTCTGATCTCCTGGTAACAATAGTAATGTCTCAAATAATGTATACGTATTTAAGAATACTACTAATCAAATGACTAATTAAAACTGACCATCTCATCATAATAAGAACTCTATCTATTACGAATCAATGTTTCAATTTGTTCTTGTAAAGCACGGATGACATCATCTGTTTTTTTTTGCTTTTCTTCCGCTTGTTGTTGAAATTCCTTCTGTTGTTCCAATGTTTTTTGCAGACGTTCCACCTCAGCTTTCAAATGATTAATTTCACCACTACTAGATTGTGAAGATGAAGTGTCCATTTCAGAAGAGTACTTTGAAGCTTTACTATGAATATTTTGTGTACCATATGAACCAGTTCCATACAATCTATTCTTTGTGTCAGGTCCACCAACAACATCATAGAACAACTCATCATCATCCACTTCCTCACCGATATCAATTAGCTCCTCACGACGTGAAACAAATTCATCCTATAATATTTTATTGAATTAATATAAGAGTAAATTATTTAAAACAATAATAAAATTTCAAAAATACTTACATTCACTTCTTGAGCCTGATCATTTATAAAAGTCTCTCCATCGTGATTCTTTGTATGTGTATACAAAAAAACCTGATAACTTGTCACTGTGGTTTGGGAGTTCTTTTCCTGCATAATAATGATTATTAGTGTACAATGTTAGAATAATCAGACAATATCATATGAATCACAATATTATTGGACATGTTGAATAAATAAAATATATTCATATCACATATTCTATTAAAATGCATAATCAAGGCAATATTACATACAAATGCTTCAAGTGATTTTTTTTGCTTGAACTAAATATACTGATAAAAACATATTCATGAGTGTAGGGAACTAATATTACAGGGAATGTTTACATTGAAACTTAAAATATATCTACTTTGGTAACGTATCCATGCGTAGGGAATGGTTATTAAAATTATTATTGATATTCATGCTAACATATCCATGCTTAGGGAATGGTTATTAAAATTACTTGTAATATTAGTTCCCTGCTAACAGTGAAACTTAATTTTGTTATGGTCTAATTTTGCTACTTTCAATAGAGATAATTAATAACCAGTGAAACATATAGTTTATATACACTTACAATTTCACTGGCAACTTTGGCATGAGATATGGTCCCACTAGTATGAGTAGAGGGGGCAGGCTTCTCTAATTCACCTTGACGCCTATTTTTTTTGCTTTGATTAGATTTCTTCTGAAATTCTTCACTACTCCACATAGTCATCCAACTATCCAAAACTTCTTGAGTGATTGATGAATTCTTCTGACATCTTCCTGTTTTCATATTACTGAGATAATTGGAATATCTTTGTTTAGCTTTTGAAGTCCACGCTGCCTTTATTGAAGATTCTATTATAGGATTCCAATAGCAATGCTTCTACAGTTCATTGTAAATTCAATGTAAGTCAATTAAAATATAATAATAATTGTTTGCTGCCAATTCTTAATTTTTAATTGTTCATAGTAAAAAATATAGAATATAAGATATATGATTGAAAAAGTACCTTAAACTCATCCCAATAAAACTTTATTATATCTTCACTTAAGTTAGCCCATGAGTAACCATCAGGATCAACCCTTTCCTTGAAAAGAGAAGTAATCTTTCGGGAACATTCTTCTGAAGGAAGTAATCTGTATAATGAAAGAAAATAATTTGAAATATTTACTATTAGATAAAGAAATGAATATTAATAAATATAATCTATTTATATAACGGGTTTTTATAAACTTAACACTTACTGCTTTTTTTTAACTCCAATGCACAAACGACCGTTTGCCGCTATAGACCCAATAACATGTAGTGGTTGATCAGAATTATTATTTGAGACAGTTGTATCAGTACCGGCATGAGTGGAGGTATTGGGTGATGAAGTAGATTGTGATAAATCACGTGGTGGAGTGGTAGATGATGAGCCAACTTGGGGAGTAGTTGGCGATGAACCAAGTGATGGAGTGGATGATGGTGGAGTAGTTGACGAGGAACCAAATGATGGAGTGGATGGTGATGGCACACGACTCACAAATCTGGGCACTAGAGTTGCTGGTCGCTTACGTTTGGTTGGTCCTCGACCAGATGGTGGCAACTTAGACATTTTCCTGCAAAAAATGACTACATTTTTTGTTTATATATGCTGCCATTTAAAGTCACAAAGTACCGAGCCACCTACCAAATATAGTACCACATCAAAATATATATATAAAATTTGAAAGTTCAAGAGATGACAAAAAAACTAACATATTGCGAAGCAAATAATTGAACCATGAAAACACACGTGCATTTATAAAGATGACAGAACATAACAAGTATAATGATTCTTAATAATATCCACAAAGTAATATAATAATCTTTTATAGCATTCAAAACAATTATGAGGCCTTTTTATTTGGAATAACCAAAGAAAATTAGAGGAATTACGTAGCAGCAGCAGCAGAATGCTAAAAACTGACAGTGCCCTGCAAATCCGCACAAACCTTTTACATTATGATTATTATCTATGATAAGTTACAAGTAAATTAATATTCATGCAGCATTTCAATATTGTCAGCAATACAAACATCAGAAACATGTGTGCCAAAACTATATCAGCAATATGATGTAGACATGGGTCATGCTTATCAGCAACGTCATCCACCGAATACATGCCTAGAGGCCCATGTAGAGACTGTCACTTATGAGGGGCACACTGAAAGTGGCTTATTGGGCCAACAGCCAGCCAAACTACCAGGGCTACGCAAAGCAGTCCTAACTGTGAAGTTTATTAGAGTTGCATAAAAATAATCATTAAAAGTCATTACTTCATAAATTTGTCAGAGTTGCATGCTGAATAATATGTAAAAAAAAATAAAGGCATTTCGTTGTCAATATCTATCTCATTGTTGATCATATTGCTAATCACTATCAGAATTATAATCATCCTCATCTTCACTTTCACTACTGGATGAACTTGATAGAAATTCATTCACTTCCTCGTCATTTTCAGAATCTGCATCGGGAATATCCATATCAATGTTTGGATCACATAATGTAGCAATTGACTCATCAGTAGGATCTGTGATTTGAATTGCTTCACACTCGTCTTCTTGAAAAACATCTTCTTTTGAGTGACCAGTTTCGGTAACAGAGTTATCAATCCACCCTCTTGGTTTAATTTTACATACAGCAAACCAATCCGATGTGCCTCGTTTTGTGGTAGGATAAGACACAAAACTAACTTGAGAAGCTTGCATTGCTAAAATAAATGGCTCAAATTTATTGAACCTTCTCCTTTGATTGAGTTCCACCAAATTGTATTGTTTGTGAACTTTTACTCCAATGTTAGGAGTGGGATCATACCATTCACATTTAAACAACACAGTACGTTTCAGTGGCAAAGCTGGGTACTCAACTTCTAGTATTTCTAACAACTTTCCGTAGTAGTCACCATATGCTCCAGTTATACAAATGCCATAGTTCATTGTCGATCTATTAACACCATATGCTTCAGTGTGAAATTTATACCCATTAATGAAATACACGGGATATGATTTCACTGTTGCCAGTGGTCTTCTAGACAGATCATATATATATGTATTTCCAATTTCATTTTCGCGGGCCTATGATATAAAAAATACAATATGAGATAATATAGTAATAATTTAAAAAATAAGTTTATAACTCTTTTTATTCAAACTCTTACATAAGCTTCAAACCAAGAAGCAAAGTGTTGCTCCACTTGAGTTGCGAGACTTTCTTCACTTATATCAGGGTTAAATTCCTTCAAGAATTGCTCATACTTCCTATTAATCATTAAAGGAATATTATTAAAATTTAAACATTAAAACCTAATTAAATATATTTTGAGTTTGACTTGAATCTTACTCAATGAAAGGTTGCACCTCCTCACAATTAAGCAATATGTAAGTATGCGCTGCTGAGTATTCCTCTTTGGTCAACCTTCTTTTCTTCACTTTTCCACTAAAACGGCCAAGATGCTTAAAGATTGACAAAGTATCTGCAATGTCTTCACTCCCTCCCCCATCATCATTTCGAGGAACCTTACGGTTTCGAGTATAAACATGTGGCTCAAAGTAATGAGAACAAAAACTAGACGCTTCGCGAACTAAGAAGGCGTTGCAAATCGATCCTTCAACTTTAGCTTTATTTTTCACATCCTTTTTCAACTCATGTAAATATCTAAGATGAAATTGACATTTTAGCTATTAAAACAAAATGGGGAATTATTATTTTTATCAAGCATCATAAATTTTACCTTTCAAAACGATACATCCATCGATACTGTGCTGGGCCACAGATCTTAGCTTCGTAAGGCAAATGCACAGGTAGATGCTCCATCGGGTTAAAAAACCCAGGCACTAGTAGACTCTCCAGCTTACAAAGAATTATTGGAATTTCGGCTTCTAATCTAGCCATGTCATCAACTTTAATTGTTGTTGCAGTTAAGTTCTTGAAGAAAAGACTCAACTCAGTTAGTGTTTCCCATACCTTAACTGGCAACATTTCTCGAAAAGCGATTGGCATTAGCCTTTGCATAAAAACATGACAATCATGACTCTTCATGCCGAACAATTTATGCTTGTTCATATCAACACATCTTCCAAGATTTGAAACATACCCATCTGGGAACTTCAAACTCTTTACCCATTCGCATATGACCTTCTTTTGATCATTGTCTAATGAATAACATGCTTTAGGGTACTTATCTGTAAGGGGGTTCTTTTGTAACTCCTTTCTATTACAGAAGAGTTTCATATCCTCCCTTGCTTGCACATTATCTTTTGTCTTTCCCTTTATATTCATTACGGTGTTAAACACATTCTCAAAGAAATTTTTCTCAATATGCATGATATCAAGATTATGTCGAATGAGATTAGTTTTCCAATAGGGCAAATCCCAAAAGATGCTCCGTTTTCTCCATCCACAAATACTGCTACATTCCTTGTTCACTTCCTCAGCATCATCTTCTATGACATTCAACAATCCGAATTCGTCAATTTCTTGCAAAATTTGTCTCCCACTCTTAATAGGAGGAGGAGGCCTCATTTCAACACGATTTCTTGTGAACTTACTTTTGTTTCGTCGAAATGGATGATCAAGAGGAAGGAACTTTCTATGGTTGTCAAACCAAGACATTTTCTTTCCATTAGGAAGATAAAATGCTTGAGAATCTTCCATACAATGAGGACACGCAGTTCTCCCTGATGTTCCCCAACCGGAAAGCATAGAATATGCAGGAAAATCACTTATTGTCCACAATAAAGCTGCTCTCATATGAAAATTTTGCTTCAAAGACACATCATATGTAAGAACGCCTTCTTCCCATAAATTCTTCAACTCGGCAATAAGAGGTTGAAGAAAGACATCCAACTTATGTTTAGGATTGTCGGGTCCAGGAACTATTACACTCAGAAACATATAAGGATCTTTCATACACATTGATGGAGGCAAATTATACGGTGTAACCATTATAGGCCAACAAGAATATTGTTGTCCAGATTGGCCGAAGGGTTGAAACCCATCTGTGCATAAACCCAACGAAAATGGTGTGTTAATTAACTCATGTAAACTATGAAGTTGCTGTACATTTCAAGTAAGGACATAATGGTGTTGTTGTTGCACACCAACTAAACACCAGAACATTTCAAGTAAGGACAGAATGAACTTTGTAAAAGGTGAGCTATAAGATAGAGGAAGGTATTAACAATATTAGTTCATCCATTTAGCAGAACAATAGTAGCTCTAATGTTAAATGATAGTTGATACTCCGTATATGATAACTTGAAAGTTATTAAACAGTAGGCTCATAAATTGTTCAAAATAGAACTTTAAAAAACTAAAAAGTTAAATAAAAAACTTAAACAATAAACGTAAATGACAAGTAGAAAAAAGATTAGAAAGGCTAGAAAAAGTTAATACTACGGGTAGCATTTAATAACTTCAAATAGTTCAAGACATAACTTTTAAAAAAGAAGAGTTAAAAAACTTAAACAATAAACATAAATGACAAACAGAAAAGATTAGGAAGGCTGGAAAAAGTTAATAACTTCAAATTATTCAAAATAGAACTTTTAAAAGACAAAAAATTTGAATAAAAACTTAAACTAAATATAAATGAAAAACAGAAATATCAGATAGGTAGTACGGAGTACTATTTAATAAATTGAAATTGTTCAAAACAGAACTTGTAAATAACTAAAAATTAAATAAAAATACTTAAACAATAAAAATAAAAGACCAACAGACAAAGATTAGATAGGCTGGATAAAATTTAATTCGAGTACTATTTTTTAACTCTAAATAGTTCAAAGCAGAGCTTTTAAAAAACTAAACAAATTAAATAAAAAGTGAGAAAGGTGGGAACTTGGGCGGTGGGATATTTTACATGGACTACTTACCTGGACAAACGTACGAAGCAGGGGAGCTTCTGATTGCCTGTTAGCGTGCGTACGGGTGCAGTGAAGGTGCTGAACGTGCAGAGGTGCGGTGTTGGACGTGCGGAGGTGCGGTGCTGGACGTGCGGAGGTGCGGTGCTGGACTGCTAGAGTGCTACGGTGGTGGGTGGCGGCTCCAGAGGCCTAAACACAGGTAGCCTTGGCGACGGACGACGGTTGTCGGCTTGGAGGCATGGGAGTTCGTGGTTGAATGAGTTGGAGAATATTGCTAAAGAGAAGACTGGATTCGGCTAATTAGGGATTTAGATGAATGAGCCAGACCTAATTAGGATTTAGAGACGGGATGAGTAAGAGTTAGAAGGAAGGAGGCGGCTCTAAGTTTATTTAGGCGGGAAGTACTAGGTATATTTTTTATTAAGCGCCAAACTGCAGATCCAAAATTAATACTTGCATCGAAGGGATAATAAAAAATCATATGGAAGTAAAATATTTTGTTTATGATTTTTCCGCATAAGTTTTTTTTACAGACCCATAAGTTAAAAATGGTAGATAATTCCATTAATTTTTTAAAGTTGCAACGGAAAGAATTCTCTTGCAAATTGTTGTTGCTGGGCATAATCGTTGCAGATAAAAATTTGCAATAGATGATATTTTTGTTGCAAATTTGTTGCAAATTTGGAACTATGCAACTAAATAATAGTCTGTTGCTATTTTTGTTGC